CCATCCCTGGAGTGCTAGGTTATAAGCACAGGACATCACTATAAGTGCAGGACATCACATCTGCCTACTAAGGACTTGCCCAGTGTAGCTTAGCCCCCATGGTCAGCAGAACCTGACAGACATAGATCATTGGAATGACAATGTCTTAAGACCATATCTCAGTTTTGCACAGTCCTGTTTTAGTGAGTAGATCCACTACATTATAGAGACTGCTTCTAACCTGTTTCCTTAAGCTCCTGAGTCATGTGCAGCCTGTGCTCTTGATTGGTGTCTTCAGAGCAAGCTGCAGAATCTGTTTCACAATCAAATAACAATGCCTCAAGAAGTCTGGATGCAGTGGAGTACACCATGTCTGATTCTGAGGACAAGCACAATGAAGTTCTACCTCCACTGGAGTTTGATTCAATGATTGACCCAGCTCTGCTACCAGGTGCTGCTGCAGCTACTACTTTGCCTAGGAATTGTCACACTTCATCAGTGACAGGAAGCACACCTTTGTCAGAGGTGCAACATGCACCCTCAGCACCACCTCAACAGACCATTGAGCCACCATCTCAACCTGCATTATCTGCTGCAACCACACAACCACCCTTTATCTTCCCTTTCCTTCCTACAAATTATCAACCTTCTTTCAATCCCTTATCTCCCTCAACCATGTAACCTCAACCTTCTTCTGATCCAAGCATGGTTCCCTGCTCACTTTCATTGTCTCTAGATCAAGCCAATGGAGAAGCCAATGGAGAAAGGTGGAGTGAGCTCTTGAAGGGATTGAAGAAACAACTGAGAGCTCATATGCCTGAGGTTGCTCAACCCAAGAAACAGAAGACTATCAAGGCTCATGAACCAAAGACCACCCTTCAACCAACAGAATTGCAAGAGGCTGATGGCAAGAATGGTCATGGTAAGCAGATTCATTGGGCTCCAGGGACCAAGGAGGTAGTCCGCCTGACTGCAACACAAATGGGAAGCCAATGAAGGAGGCAGCCAGTAAGCCTGCCAAAGGGAATGCATGGTGAGTAGTGACTTCACACTCCATAAATAAAAACCTATAAATATATGTCTTAGTAAGAAAAAGTAGCATATGGGCTGCCCCCATGTGGATGTTCATGTACATGCTTATATACATGGCCATTTTTATGATCTAGTGTATCTTGTTCTGTTTGATATTCTTGAGTCTCAGCAGTAGTTGAAGTACTAAGTAACAAAAGTTTCTTGAATGAACAAATGAATGCTAGAAGAAATATATTGTCTTTCACTTGGTTCCAGGGGAAAATGATTATGCACAATATGTTTTATTCCAGGAATATCATTTTTCATATGTTCTTTTATTAATGATAAAGATTCTTGAATGGACCAATATGTGAATGAGGGCTCAAACAAATAGATTTTATTCCAATTCCAGAAACTAGGAAATGTTTGTTTTGGTGGTCATACTGGGCCTGGCTGCAAAGGCACTGAATAAAAAGTTGAGTATCAAACAAAGCATCCAGCAGAACAAGGCCACATATTCAGTGTCATATGTTATACTGTATGTTTCTAGAAACTGCTATTCCAGGAACTGAATGTTTGAAGGCAAACAAAGCAGGCAATGTGAAATAGTGAAATGTCAATATGCTATATAAAGTTGATTATAGTACATACTAAAGCTGTCCAGCAGAACAAAGCCATGTATGTTATTCTGTTTGTTGGCAGAAATTGCTATTCCAGGAACAGAATGTTTGAATGCAAACAAAAAAAATACACATCAAAGAATCCATGCCAGGCAATTGTGGAATAGCAAACTATCATTTTGGTCTGGGCCCCAACACAAGTCCATAAAATGTACTATTTATAGACACCCATTCAGATTCAAAAGCACAATCCAGGAACAAATGCACATAGATGGTGGCAAAAAAGCACACTGCAAGTGCTGAGAAAGCTATGGTTGGGTGGTAACAAGTGCTCAAGCCCATTCGAGGCAGGAGAGCAGATTATTTGGTTTTGGATGGTACTAGTCACATGGCCCTGTAACTCGAGTCCAACCATATATTATGACCTGGCCTCTACTTAGAGCAGTCTAATGTATGAGATTGGCAGTACAGCCTGCACCCACCCAGATATTACCTATGCCATTCAGCAGCTCACACAGTTCATTGACTGTTATAACACAACCCACTGGAAGGCTGCCATTCAACTCTGTCAGATATTGAAAGGGAACTAGGGATCTCAAACTTGTCTTGGGGGGTAAGAATGAACCAGTTAACCTCATGGGCTTCATGGATTCAGACTGGGCTAACTGCCTTGGTACACATCAAAGCATCAGTGTTTATGCCTGGAGTCTAGGTTCTGGTTTAGTCTCATGGGCCACATGCAAGCAGAAGTCTGTCATGGCATCTCTATGTGAGGTTGAGTACATGGCTGCTTTTGAGTGTACTCTGGAATGTATCTGGTTATGAGCCTTGCTGAAAGGTATTGGGTACAATGTCACTGCTGCCCCTACACCTATACTATGCAATAACAACACCACTATTAACCTATCTGAGGATCCCACCTTACACATGCAGGTCAAACATGTCAACATAAAATACCACTTCCTTTGTGAACATGTTCAATCTAATGAGATATGCATTTGGTATGTCAACATGAAACACAACATTGCAAAATACACCATCAACCTCGATCACAGTGTGGCATGGCCACCAACCATATCACACATATCATGTCCCCATTATCTCAATATTGGCCCTGTGGCCACACTCTCCCATTGTTACAGACATTATATATATGCTACTTTAGCATATACAAACCCTCACTCAATTATACATTGTGTTGAAGGTGAGTACTTATTACAATTACCAGAATACACACTAATGACATGTCCTTAGACTTATGCTTATATGCTGTCAGGTACTACACACTTCAGGAAATGTAGCATGTTTCCTCAGAAAAAGGTGTCAGAAATATGTTTTTCAATTTCTGACACCTTTTTCTCAGGAAACATGCTAAATATTGTGTCAGAAAAATTCAGTAAATATGTCAAATATTCTCTTAATGTTTCTTTTGTAGAATGATGAATTTTTCCATATTTCATCCAAAGAAAAAATACTCAAAATATTTGAAATGTTCTTGTTGATTTTCTTGAGAAACATGTGATATGTTTTCAGCACGTGTTTCTCAAAAAACCTTTGTTGTGTTTTTAATGTTGTATCTCAAGAAACACTCTTTGTTCTTCTCAAGGAACACATGACAGTATAACTTATGATACTTCTCAAGAAACACGCAGTAAAAAATGTTATAATATTATACAGAAACAATCTATAGAAACACGTGTCGTGTCAGGATATTGATGAGCAAATCAACAGTCATGCGCTGAGCAACGTGACACGTGTTTCTGTACATTGTTTCTGTAAAAGATTGTCACATTTTTCTAGTGCATGTTTCTTGAGAAATATCTTGAAATATCCTGCCACATGTTCCTCAAGTAGAACAAAGAGTTTTTCTTTAGATACAATATATGAACATAATAATGGTTTCTTTAGAAACATGTGCTGAAAGATATGAAGTGTTTCTCAAGAAAATAATTGAGAACATTTCAACTATTTTTATCATTATTTCTTAAGATAAATACCAGAAAAATTTATTATTTTATGCAAGAAACAATAAAAAAATATTTCAGATATTTCCTAGAATCATCTAATACAATATTTCACATGTTTCTTGAGAAAAAGGCGTCAGAAATTGAAAAACATATTTCTAACACCTTTTTCTCAGGAAACACGCTACATTTCCTGAAGTGACACTCAATTACACATTGTGTTGAGGACTTACGCTTATACGCTGTCAGTAACATTCATTTATAGGGTTCTAACCAAAATCCAATAGTATCGAACCGTTCTATACGCTACTACTGCTTGTCTAGCATTATAGCAAGGTACTTCGAGTCAGATGGGATTCCAGCGGCAAGCGAATCTCAACCAAAGAAGTCAAAGGATGTGAATACTGTGCCTTACTCTTGTTCATTGCCCTCTCTACCCCCATGTACAGGAGCATCTAGACGATGAACACTACAACCCATCGCATACTCATAATCATGAAAATTATGACATGAAAAAGGTCCAGTAAAAATGCAGATGCAGATGTAAAAGTCAGCATATATGTGAAAGGAAGAAAAGTATATCTCGCTGGCTGGGCAGTGGCAGTGGGCTTAATGCAGAAAAGTCGGAGATGGTGCTTGTCGCTGCTAAGATAAAGGAAGAAATACAACAGAGTCGAACTGTTCTATACGCTACTACTGCTTGCCTAGCATTATAGCAAGGTACTTCAAGTCAGTGGGACAACGACAAGCCAATTTCGACCAAAGAAGTCAAAAGACGTGAATACTCTTGTTCATTGTCCTCTCTACCCCCATGTACGGGGGGACATCCGCATCTAGAATACATAACGTTGAACACTGGCAGAATCGTGTAATGATGAAAAGGAAACATAACATGCGAGAGATTTCCATCCTTGTTAAGCACAGCCAAAAACTGACTATGTACACTGACAAATTGTTTGCAGTTTCAGGAGAAAGCTCCCCAATATATAAATACTTGTCTGAGTCGGAGACTCCATAATAATTGAAAGCAGTTTACAGCCATTAAGCTGGAGTAAAGCATCACATAAATGAACTTGTTAGTTAGTATAGCAGGCACATCACATCAAGATTTGGTGAAAATTGAAACTCTGCCGCCGTATGAAGTGCCCCAAGGTGAAATTTCCAAGACCTTTGAATTGGACATCATGAACATGAGAGAGATTTCCATCCTTGCGACAAGCCAATTTCAACCAAAAAAGTCAAAAGACGTGAGTACTCACATACTACCCTTCGGTCTACTTGTGCCTCACTTTCACCTCTCTACGCATCTAGAGTACATGACGTTGGACACTTGCAGATTCAAAGTCAGCATAGATGACGGGACACTGGTAGAATGATGAAATGAGAAAACTATGTAGTGGCAAAACTGTACCAATTTGAACTCTCATTCCCTCTAGCCGACTTGAACGACTGACCTCGTCATGTACTTGGATTTGTATACTAGTGACGCGCTCTACCACTGAGCTAAGAGGGATTGTTTGGACGGTGATAGGAATGTGATTTCACTGCAGGCGTAGATGGATACATAACGCCGACACATCTTTTTAGTTTTGATTCACAGCAGAGTACCAAAAGGTGTGGAAAAGAAAACGACTCGAGAGAGCAGCGCGACGCAGAAAACCAGCGAACAACATTAGAAACATGAAACAAAAAGGAGCGGGCATGGGTAGAAAGAAAAACAACACACGACAAGGATATCATATCAACTAGATCACCACGACGCACTCATACCTACTTGGCGACGGGCGCCCCGCGTCCCCTGGGCGCACCTCTCTTCCAGCCACCACGTCCCTCACCTGGACCTGCACCTCCATTGACCGGGGCACCCCCCCTGGGCCTGCTGGGGGGCCGCTCTCCGCGCTCCTTCTTTGTCTCGACGCTGATACGGAGCTGTGGGCCGTCTGCGCCGACGTCGATCCAGAAGGGGGACTGGGAGATGGCGCGGCGTGCAGACTCGATAGACTGGAACTCGATGAAGGCGCAGGCTTTGGAGCGGACGATTTCGATTTCTTTGAGGGGCCCGAAGCGGGCGGCGAGTGTGCTGGTGAGGAGGGGCTGGGTTATGGGATCGATTATGCCCTGTGGGAGGTTAGGTTAGGTTAGGCTGGGGAGGGGGGGAGAGACGGACCTTGACGAAACAGTGGGCGGTGGTGATGCTTGCGGCGGCGATGGGCCCGTAGGTGGGGGTGGAACCGCCGTGTTGGTGGTGGTGGTGGTGCTGTTGCTGGGGTTGCTGCTGCTGGGGCTGGGGCTGTCTGGGCGCGGGGGGCTGCTGGGCAGGGACGGGGGCAGCGGCGGGGGCAGCGGCGGTGATGGGACTCTCGGTGACGCCGCGGGACTCTTGGGCGACGTTGGCGCCCCACCTGTTGGAGTTGGACGCGGCGAGGGAGGCCCATGTTTTTGGGGCGGCGGGTGCCGGCGCGGGCGTCGCGGGTTTTGAGGGAGCCGGCGCAGGAGCGGGTGCAGCGACAGGCGGCGCAGGCTCGGGCTCGGGCGTCGCGGGCTTCTCGGGCTCTGGCGTGGAGACGCCGTTGGGCACAGGCTCGGGCGTGGGAGGAGCTGCGACGGCAGGCTCAGGGACGTCGACGGGCGCCTCTTCGACGACGGCGGGAGGCGGAGAGGGCGCCGCGGGCGGGGGAGAGGGCGGCTGCGTCGGCTCCTCAGGGACTGGTGCCGCAGCGGCAGGGGCGTCGGCAGGGGCGTCGGCAGCAGCGGCAGCGGCGGCAGGAACGGCGACGGCGGGCACGGGGGCGGGAGTTTCCGGGACGGCGTCGTCGTCGCTGTCGACAGTCTCCTCCTTGAGGAAGCGGAAGATGTCGTTGAGCACGAAATAGCCGTTCGGCTGCTCGGCAAGGAAAAAGGTCTGGGCAAACTTGCGCCAGGGCTCGCCGTGGTTGGACATTTCGCCGATGACCTGGATGATGATGCCTCCGTTCGCCGACGACTGCGCATCCACCGAATGGATGAACACCTTGCAGTCCTCGAACCCGATCGACGTTATCTTGTTGTGGATTTCCTGCGCGCCCTCAATACACCGCCCCGCACGCAGCACTCCCACTCACCTGCTGGCCAAAGCATGGGCTCCCCTCCTCGCCCTCAGTCCCGTGGATAAACGTCGACGCTTTCGTGTAGAAACAGTGCAGGCGGTCCGGCTGCTTGTTCACAAACGTGTAGTACTGGGGAACAAACTGCCAGCCGACTTCGGAAGGAACGACGGGCGTCGACGGCGTGGAATTCGTCATGCTGCTGGATTTCACTACCCCATCCCACCACGCACACAGGACCACTCACATGAAACGTGATCGAACAAAGTCTACAGAAATACAGCACGGAGAGCAGAGAACCGCAGCGAGAGCGAGTGTTGTTGGTTGGCGAGTGAAAAAAATTATAATTATTCCGCTTTGGGAACCCGCCGTTTGCCGAACTCTCAGCCGAGTGCAAGAGCACCCCTGCCACTACCGCCCTCGTCGCCGTCGTCGCCGTTTCAGTCCGTGAGATCCCTAACGTTCCTTTCCGCCCAAGAAAAAAAAAAGAAGGAAAAACAATCTCCATGTACCACCGTAATGCGTCGGATATCGGAACCCATCACTTGACTCTGCTCCCCGATGAGCGTCACCACCCATCTCCTCCTCTTCATCCTCATCTTTGCATTCTGTCTCTCCCCAAATGGAGTCTACGCTTTCGGAGCGGGCAACATACCCTCGTTCGTCCTGTAACCCGTCTACGACCTCACCCTCATCTGTCCGCAGATTCGCATACATGGAGGGCCGGGCATTTAGACACGGGGATATCGTGAGTTTCTCGTCGTAGCATGTACCACCATCCTCACAATCACCAGGAAGACACACTGTCCGAACTAATCAAAGGCGGAGGAGGCATCGCCGCCCTCGCATCCGTGATCTCGGGCGGTCGAAAGTTCAACGGCCTAGACGTCAAACGAGTTTATTTCGGGTATGTTCTCAGCTTACCCTCAGCCCTCAACCCCAATCTCCCCCCCTCCCCAGAAACTGGTTGCGCGATTACAGCCAGGCACGTTCCTTCCGTCCAAGATATGCTTATACTTTTTTTGATTTTGACTATATAGGCAATCGACATCGCGTCCTTGAAGAAGATGCCGATCCAGGTGCGTAAACGTGTGTACAACAGATTCTGTCTTTTCTGACTTTTTGATGGGTAGACTATTATGAATCTACTCATGGTCCTCGGCTTCATGGTTCGTAATCTCCGTTCTGCGCCGCGCGCCTTGTTTCTGCATCCTCGATCCACAGGCACACGGATACGCAACGCACGAGTTTGAAGTCACACAAGAGCGCATCGGTGTCTATCTCCCCGTCGAACACATCGACAACCCGAAAGGATACGGCGAGGGTGAAGATGCGCGAAAGTATCATCCCGCGCTCAGACCGCCCGTCGATGTCAGTCCTCCTTCCCTCCACTAATCAACTCTAACATTTCCGCGCTCCTAGCCCCGCGAGCTTGAGATTGATCCGCGCACGGGTATGAAAAATTACATCGCCAACGGTACGTCCCCGCCATAACTTTAATCTGCCAGACCGATAACCAGAAACAGAACAAGGCACATGGGACACCTCCAAAGCGCTCGTGCGCCGCTTGATTGAGCGGTGTGTGCATCTCGGAAGGCAGCATCGTGCGCAGGGCAGGAAGCAGGACGAGTACGAGGCGTATAGGATTCTCGGGACGCTCGTGAGTGTCCGCTTTCCCTCCCTCCCTCGCGTGCACTCACCCTTGACGCCAAACAGCTCCACACCCTCGAAGACTTCACAGCCCACTCAAACTGGTGCGAAATCGCGCTCGTCACGCTAGGACACCGCGACGTATTCCTGCACGTAGGAGATCAAGTACGAATCCAAGCGCCCAACGGACAATGGGTCGCACCAATCGTCACCGGTGCGCGCGCGCGTCTTTTCATCTCTCCTCATCTCTCCTCCCTCACACCACTTTCTTCTTCCTCCCCCAGGCACATTCGGCTCCAACGACTTTTTCCACTCACTCCTAGGCGGTACGTATACGTCTACCCTACCGCTTCCCTCTCCCACCACTAACAACACCCCACCCACCCACTCACTAGAGGCCGGCGACCACCTCTCCCAAGCATCCGTAACGGACCTCAACAAATCTCTCGACAGCGCCCGTGCCCGCTCCGGCTCCTCCGGCTTCGGCACATCCACCTCTCGCTCCCCTATGGATCCTGCGGCTGTCCTGCGCGATTTGTTTTTTAGTATTCCGGGTGGTGGAGGCGGGGAGCTGTCGAGAGAGATGGAGGCTGTTGAGCGGATACGTGCTGTCGGTCAGGGGCAGGGCCAGGGTGGATGGCCGGGGCAGCAGCAGGGGCAGGGAGGGGGGAAGAGGCCGGAAGAGATGTCGCCGCAGGAACTGCATTCTGTGCTTTGGCAGGTTTTGACGTTTAGGGATTCTGGTGAGTGCGAGTAAAACTCAGTTGCATGGGAGGGCTGATGATTGGTGTAGTTATGAAGAAGATTGAGAAGACGATTGAGAAGATACCTGGGTTGAATTCGCTCATTGAGAAGATTACTGATTCGATTTCTGGTGGGTGGTGTTTTTTGCTTTTTGCTTTTTTTTTGGAGTTTCTGATTTGTTGGGGTTTTTTTTGTTTTTGTTAGTTTTTGTGTTTACTACTCTAGAGGTGTGTTAGTCATGTATGATTGATCTCATCCGTTTTGGTATTCAACTCGCCACAGCCGTTCCTGAAGCCTATCCTGAAGACATCGACGTCGGCGCTTTCGGAAATTTCGGGTGAAGTTATTAATAGTCATGATCAGTACGAGGTGTTCAATGATCCAAGAGCGGTGTGTATCCTCGATTCGCGTGGTTCATTTGTTTCTCGTGCTGAGTCGGCGCCGTAGTCGGATCCTACCCACTCGTTTCTGAGTAAAGACCATTTTGTGAGTTTTTTGTGAGTTTGAGTTGAGAGGAGCGTGGGCTGATTAGATTGGTGTTTAGAATCTTATTTTGAATGAGCCTGCTGGTCGTGTTGCGAGAGTCGTTGTCGTGCGTGCCTATTTCGTTTCATTTTAAGCATATTGTTGGATCTATATATATTCATATATATATTTTTTTTTGGCCAGAAAAATGCGGTCGGACATATTCAGAAAGCTTGGGACGATAATTCAGTCAATGTTCACAGTCTAACCGAGGAAGTTCTCCAGGCCATGTACGCATCAGTTCCCTCCTCCTCCTTTCCTCTCGGAGCCCATGTCTACTCACTTACTTACACTTGTTCACTAATCAACCAGGTTCCACCCCAACTTCCACAACTCCAACTCCAAAGTGCAGCGCGAGATGCTGCAAGAGATGAACAACTGGGTGAACGACCTCGGGAAGAAGAAGGAGCGGATCATTCGGCGTCTTACGAAGGAGGCTGTGCGGAACCATGAGAATGTCCGTCTTGCGGGTGAGGGCGGTGCGCCTGTTTCACAAGGATCGTTCGCACAG